TCTGAAGCCAGGTGCCAGGAGCTTCTTCCAGGTCTCCCACATGAGTGCAGGGGCCCAAGGACTTGGACCATCTTCTAGTGCTTTCCCAGGCATGTTAGCAGGGAGCTGGATCAGAAGTGGAGCAGCTAGGACTTGAACCGGTGCCCGTGTGGTTTACCCATGTTGTAGGCAGCTGCTTTACCCACAATACCACAAACACTGACCCTGATCAAATAATTTCAAACTATCACTTATTTGCATCTTACATGGGAGATCTGGGGTCCAAGTCTTGGCTATGGTTTCTGACTCCAGCTTCTTGCTTGTGCAGACGCTGGAAAGCAGCAGTGATAGCTCAAGTAATTGGTCCTTGCCACTCATGGGGGAGACTTGAATTGTGTTCTTAGCTCCTGGTTCCAGTTCTTGCCAAGTGCTGACTGTTACAGGCATTTGGGTGAGTGAACCAATAGATGGGACTCTGTTTCTTTCTCTTCCCCCCACCTTCTCTTTTTGTCTGCCTCTCAAAGAATTTAAGATATTTTAAAGCAGGGATAGAAAAAAAATATTACATATTTTAAGATACAGCCAAGATCTTAATGAAAGAAAAATGGGTTTATTGTTATTTCTAATGAATTTTACTGAGGAAGTTATAGAAAGAATAACCAGATAACCCCCAAAGAAAGCCAGTCAGCTGAAATAAAAACAAAACTAAAACTTAAATTCCTGAATTTACTGAGTTCATTCAGTATTATAGCAACATATATTTGAAAACAAATAATTTTCACATACCAGAAAAACTTGTCAGAAAACTAGTATTTCAGTAATACTCAAAGGAATCTCACAAATCCAGTTCAGAAAAAAAAGTGAATGACCCCAACAGAAAACTCACTGAGACTGGAATAGGAAATTGACTAAAATAAACAGTGGCTAAAGGAAGAAATAAATCATTAAAAACAGTTTGATCTGTTTTTTTTCCTCAGCTTCACAAAGATTGTGAAGAATTAAGCCAATACACGCTGTGGAGGGAAAGGGGCATTCACACGGTTGATGGAGGCCCGGTACAGTTTATCTGGAAGGCAGTGGGTGATGTGTGTCAGTACTGGAAACTATATATGGTTAGCTTAGAAATCCTACATCTGGGGATTAATTCTCAGCACAACTTGATAAAGCAGGCAAAGACATAGATGTATTTGTATTAAATACATCTTAATTACATATTAATAAAGACCAATTAAATAAACATGGTTTATTTATGTGATATGGTACAGCTACTAAAAAGTTAATGTAGATCAATATTTATTAATGGGAAACAACATATATAACCTATTAATGAAAAAAAGATGAATAGGATCCTATCTATTTAAAACTGTTAACACCCAGAGTATTACATTTGATTTTAGGTGATGTGATTTGGGTGTATTTTTACTTTCACTTCTCCTGTAGTGCTTAAAATGTTTATAATGATGCTTTATCGTTTTTATAATCAGACAAGAAAATTTTATTTTAAAAATACATATAATATAAAGATTCCTTTTTACATATTAGTCTGCTTTTTTCTTTCTACAACAAAAAAATACCTGCAATCCTATATCAGAGTGTGTGGGTGTGCTACTTTCTCTGGCTCCTGATTTCAGCTTCTTGCTAATGCAGACCCTCTGAAACAGTGGTGATGGCTCAAGTGACTGCATTCCTGGATTGACTTCTTTGCTCTTGACTTCAGACTGAGCCAGTCTTGGCCATCTATGCCTCTGAAATAAATAAATAATAATAATAAATTAAAAATAGGCCTGGCAAGGATATATAAAAATTGGAACCCTAGATTTGCTGGTGGGAATGTAATATGGTACAGCTCCTTTGGAAAACAGTTTGATAGTGTCTTTTTTTTTTTAATTTATTATTTGAAAGGCAGAGTTATAGAGAGACAGAGAGAGAGAGGGGTCTTCCATCCGCTAGTTCACTCCCCAAATGGCTGCCCTGGCTGGAGTGGGCTGATCTGAAGCCAGGAGGAGCCTGGGGCTTCATCCAAGTCTTCCACACAGGCACAGAGGCCCAAGCACTCGGGCCATCTTCCACTACTTTTTCAAGCCATCATCAGGGAGCTGGATCAGAAGTGGAACAGCCGGGACTTGAACAGGTGCCCATATTGGATGCTGACACTGCAAGTAGCAGTTTTACCTGCTATGCCACAGTGCCAGCACCAGTTTGGTAATTTCTTAGAGTTAAAAATGGAGTTAATATATGATCCAGCAATCTTACCTAGGTATATAGCCAAAAGAAATGAATATAGATATCTACAAAGAAAGTTGTACATGAATGCTTGTAACATTATTATTCATAATAACCAAAATGTGTATACAACTCAAATGCTTGTTAACTGAAGAGAAGAAAACCAAAATAAGATATTATCCATACAATAGAATGTTACCTGGCATTAAAAAGAAAGGAATGACTCAAGAGTTAGACTTGGGGCCGGCGCTGTGGCACAGCAGGTTAAAGACCTGGCCTGAAGCACCGGCATCCCATACGAGTGCTGGTTCTAGTCCTGGTTGCTCCTCTTCTGATCCAGTTCCCTGCTGTAGCCTAGAAAGGCAGTAGAGGATGGCCCAAGTGCTTGGGCACCCGCACCCACTTGGGAGACCCAGAAGAAGCTCCTGGCTCCTGGCTTTGGATCGGCACAGCTACGGCAGTTGTGGCCATTTGGGGGGTGAACCAGTGAATGGAAGACCTCTCTCTGTAACTCTGTCTTTCAAATAAATAAATGTCAAAAAAAAAAAAAAAAAAAAAAAAAAAAAGACAGAGAGAGAGAGACAGAGACAGAGAGAAAGGTCTTCCTTCTGTTGGTTCACGCCACCAAATGGCTGCTAGGGCCAGCGCACTGCGTCGATCTGAAGCCAGGTGCTTCCTCCTAGTCTCCCATGTGAGTGCAGGGCCCAAGCACCTGTGCCATCCTCCACTGCCTTCCTGGGCCACAGCAGAGAGCTGGACTGGAAGAGGAGCAACCAGGGCAGAATCCGGCGCCCCAGCCGGGACTAGAACCCAGGGTGCCGGGCCCCAGGCAGAGGATTAGCCTAGTGAGCCATGGCGCCAGCCAAATAAATAAATCTTTAAAAGAAAAAAGTTAGCCTTGAGAGGCCAGTGCCGTGACACAGAGGGTTAAAGTTATGGCCTGCAATGCTGGCATCCTACATGGGCACTGATTTGAGTCTTGGCTATTCTACTTCTGATCTGGCTCCCGGGTAATGCACCTGGGAAAGCAGTGTAGGGTAGCCTAAGTCCTTGGGCCTCTGTACCAATGTGGGAGAGTCAGAGGAAGCTCCCATTTCCTGGCTTCAGATCACCTCAACTCTGGCCATTGCAGCCATTTGGGGAGTGAACCAGTGGATGGAAGACCTCTGTTTTTACCTCTCTCTGTAACTGTCTTTCAAATAAATAGCATATTTTCAAGGCTTTTTCAAAAAATATTATAAGTCAGGTGCCAGTGCTGTGGCATAGTGGAAAAGCTGCTGCCTGCAGTGCCAGCATCCCATATGGGCACCAGTTCTAGTCCTGGCTGCTCCACTTCCAATCCAGCTCTCTGCTATGGCCTGGGAAAGCAGTAGAGGATGGCTCAAGTCCTTGGGCCCCTGCACCTGTGTGGGAGACCCGGAAGAAGGCTCCTGGCTCCTGGCTTTGGATCAGCACAGCTCCAGCTGTTGTGGCCAATTGGAGTGAACTAGTGGATGGAAGACCTCCCTCTCTGCCTCTCCGCCTCTCCTGCTCTCTGTGTGTAACTCTGACTTTCAAATAAATCTTTAAAGGAAACAAAAAGAAAATATGCTAAGTGAAACAAACCAGTCTCAAAGACTACATGTTATGATTCCATTCATGTGCAATGTTCACACTGGCAGCTCTGTAGAGACCAGGATGATTCGTGATTTCCTTATGGCTAAGGGAAGGGGGGCTGGGAAGTGATCACTAATGGGGGCAGGATTGCTTTTTATTAAAAATTCTTTATAAAGAGAACAAATTTCATGTATCTCATTAAGAGCACTCCCACATTCCCTCCTTTTGTTATTTTTCTTTTAATTTTTATATTTGGAGGGTTAAGGACTTTTTATAGTAATGAAAATATAGTAAAATTGGATATAGATATGAATTCACAACTCTAAAAATCAGTGAATTTTATGTAAACTGGCTAAGTTTATTGGCAAGACAGACTTTGACAGAGATTCCCTGAGAAGTACAGTGTGTCATTCCTTCCTCTCTCCACTCATTCAGTATATCTTTGAGTGTCTATAACGTGCCAGGTTCTCTTGTAATCTCTCAGGATACAGTTAACCAACCAACTTCCCTACTCCTTGGAATGTATAATCTATCAACTATGGAAAAATGAACAGATGCGGGGTCGTAGTGAGGCAGTGGTTTTGCCACTACTCCCTGGGTATGGAGTTAGTGTGCAGAAGTGGAATGACAGGCATGTCGGTGGGCAGTTCTCTGCCAGCCGGCCTCACACTGTTTCTCTTTGGCTCTTCTCCCTTTCTCTTTTACTATCTTTCTTTTCTTCTCTGCAAAAATCTAGGTAAAAGACCATTTATTTATTTCTAACTGCCTATTAAGTTCACTATAATTGTTACTGATGCCAGAGAGTGGCCTTCCCCACACACTGGACAGTTAATGGAACTTTTTAACAAAAGATGATCAAAACATCTATGGAAGCCTTTGTTCTTCCTTCTAACCTAAGGCTGCCTTGGTTTTTTCCATTGTTGTGAGGAGAATTTTTCAAATATCTGGCAGAGATGTCTTTGACAGAGTGTGTTCTTAGACTTTGACACCCAGCTGGAAGTTTCCATACAATATGGGAAGAGTGGGCTGGGAAAGAATTGGCTTAATCAGGTGGGACAGACAATTGGCTGCTTTCTGGAAGTTCCTTCCACTGTTGTTAATCTGTTTCCCCTTATGGGAAGGTCTGGCAACCCTATTCTGGTTTTTCTCCCAATGGTTAGGGATTCTGCAGATTGATGAGCTATTTTTGCTTCTGTTTGTAGATGAAGTGCAGTATATTCAGGCTGAGAAAAACAACAAGGGTCCAATGGAGGCTGCCTCACTTTTTCTCAAGTACCTGCTGCAGCTCAAGGAAGAAGGCTGGTTCCGTGGCTTTTTGGATGCCCTAAACAATGCAGGTCAGTTCATTCTTTTTACAAATTGGAGATACTACTTTGGTGTTGTGGAATGCTGTAAAACTGAAAAGCTATTTATTTTGAGGTATCCATATGTAGTTCATGTCTTAGTCTGAAGCTACATAGACTTTTCAGCCAGGTGGTAGCATTATCTATCTGAAATATTCAGAGGAATCTGCAAAGATTATTGTAACTAATAGGATAGCTTATCAAGATTTGTACATCAAAACTGTAAAAGAAAATGGAAAGTCACAAACTATATAATCACCAGTGGATTAGTAGAGAGAATAAAGTTTTAAAATCAACTAGAAGACATATCTACTGAGCATCTCCTATGTGCACACGGGGGTTATGGGCCCCGGGGAAACTTCGTGAAGAGCCACAAAATGCTGCTGCACTCGTGGTGGAGACTGCTGCAGCCGAGTGGAATGACGGCCGGGTCCAGGGACCGAACATGAGCAGCAGCAATCTTAGGGAAGCTCGTCTTGATTACCAGTAACGGCGGCGGGCTGGCTTCCTCTCGTCCCCGCAAGGACAGGGATATGATGTCCGAAAAAGTAATCAGACGAGAGAAGATCAGTAACGAAGGAGGAGGCAGAGACAGATCACCCTGACTTCTCCCAAGCTCTAGGTGGAAGAAGCAGAACATCTAAAATGTGAAACGGCTCCTTGCGGTGCGCTCCTGGCTCTTTCCTGCTCGCTCACCCCTGCAGAGCTGGGAGGCGGAGGTTGTCCGCTGTGAGGCTCTCCCCCTGGACACTGCTCCTGGAGGCTCAGGTGCCTGTCGGCCCACAGGTCCTGGCCTGGCTGGAGCCCTATCTTCTAGTGCTTTCCATTGCAAGAGGAAACAGAAGTTCATGGGTGAGCCCTGTCTTCATAGGGAGTAGATGATCTTTGATGATGAACGCGCGCGAGAGAAAGCGTAGAACGCGAGAGCGGTTGGGACGGGGGTTGGGCTTGCTTCCAATATCTTGTGGTTGATTTTCGCTATTCTGTGAAAATGTTAATTTCATCAGGTCCCTCTCTTGCACGAAACCCCTGATGGGCCCGCACGAGTACAGTGCTTTCCCCTTGGTAAACCGGGATAGCAGTTCTGCCCCGCATAGGAACAGCCCCAGCCTACACGGTGTCAACAACTCCCCTCCTCTGTCCTGGCCTTTGTGCATGCTCCTCTTTGAGCTTGCTCAGAAGGATGCCTGCATGCGTGGACGTCCGTCTCCACCCCTGGGCCACACCCAGCTCCGCACCTGCCCAGCCTGGGCACCCACAAAGCCTGCCAAGTGGGATGGCGTCACTCCTCCATCCCTCCCTCAAAACCCGTTGCGATGGAGCATGAACTCGCTCTTCAGCTCCGTCCCTCGTTTCGCTTGCAAATGGTCTGTCACGCCAAGCTGCTGTACCTGGAGTCCTGGAACAAGCCCCTTCAGTTGCACCCTGGCCCCTTTGTTCATCTCCCCTGTCTGCTCCCTGGATTTCTTCGCAGGTCTCAAAACCAAGTGTGCAAGGCCACGCCCACTGCAGGCAGTCCTGTGCTTTGCATAAACAGCCTCATCTCCAAGAATGCTTCCAGGATTTTCTTTTTTACTTATTTTTAATTTTCTAGTAGTTTTTTTGCTCCAAGTAAAAAATCAACTAGAAGAAAGAAAACATCCATAAAGAAAAAGATGGGGGCTGGTGTTGTGGTACTGTAGGTTAAACCACCACTTAGAACACCAGCATCCATATCAGAGTGCTGGTTTGTGTCCTACCAGTTCCACTTCTAATCCAGCTTCCTGCTGGTGATTCAAGTGCTTGTAACGCTCTCAAAATGCTTTCATAATAACTGGATGTTGACATTCTCTGATCTTCCAGGAGACCAACAGGCAAAATGCCTTGAGCATCTGCCAAACCTGTTCTCACGACCTTTGTTCTTAACAATCCACTTTTGCTTTGACTGGACCACTTCCACATCTTGGTATCCATTGCCTTGATTGTGCTTTGTCTTCAGTAGCATACTGGTAAAGTCGTTATTTCAGCTCCTGTTAAACTTCATAGAAGAAATGCTTCAGGATCTTTATCCTACTTGTTCTAAATTTCCATGAAAGCTCTGCTCTTGGCTGAAGGTGATCTGGTCATAACCACTTTGGTGCCCATCGAGCAGGAAGTTTGCTCCACTGAAGCTTTTCAGGCTGAATTGTGTACCTGAGAGATGTCGATAGTATTGGCAGTTGTTTCTGCTGTTCATCATGAATCTTTCCCATTTAGGCATGAACAAGCTGAATGTTTTCCTCATGGATAGATGTGGATGTTCTGTTGCCATGCATTTCATTGTCAAGATCATCTTGTCCTTTTTTTTTTTTTTTTTTTTTTGATAGGCAAAGTTAGAGAAAGGTCTTCCTTTTTCCCTTAGTTCACCCCCCAAGTGGCTGCTACAGCTGGCGCGTCACAGCTGATACGCTGTGCCGATCCGAAGCCAGGAGCCAGGTGCTTCTTCCTGGTCTCCCATGTGGGTGCAGGGCCCAGGCACTTGGGCCATCCTCCACTGCCCTCCCGGGCCACAGCAGAGAGCTGGACTGGAAGAGGAGCAACCGGGACAGAATCCGGCGCCCTGACCTGGACTAGAACCCAGGGTGCCGGTGCTGCAGGTGGAGGATTAGCCTAGTGAGCCGCGGCGCTGGCCATCTTGTCCTTTCTTAAAATGAGGTAGCCTTTTCTGAACTTCTTACTTTACCAAAAGTTTATGGAGAAATATCAATGATTTCACCATTCTTCACCCAACCTTCACCCTAACTTTGATGTTCTTTATTCGCCTTTAGCAGAGTTCACTTTGCTCTTTTCTAAACAATGTCTTATCTTTCTGAGTGTCTAAAATTAGATCCTCTTCAGAAGTGTTATAAAAGTTAGTATGAGTTCATGAGTATCTTGGTGCAAAAAATCTTTACATCTATGTATAATCTTCTCATAATGTGCATTTCCCATTGGTGTTCTGAAGACCCTTGTGCTATGGGAGGAACATACATAAATGATGCATGTGTGTGTGTGAGTATAATGGAAATTGGCTCACGTGGTTGTGACAGTCAAGTAGTCTGATCTGCCATCTGCAAGATGGAGAACCAGAGAAGCTGGTGGTATAATACAGGTGGTGTCTGGAGGTTGTCGGTGGAAGTCTTGGAGTCTAAACACCCAAGACCTGGGAGCTCTGATATCTGAGGACATCTGGAGGGATTTTCCAATTCATGACAGCAAAAATTACCCCTCCTCCATCTTTCTGTTCTGTTTGGGCCCTCAGGAATTGGATAATGCCTGCCTGCTAATGTCTTCTTGAAACACCTTCGTAGAAATCCCCAAAATGTTTTATCGCCTATTTGGGCATTCCTTAGCCCAGTCTAGTTGACACAAAACTAGCTACCCAGTGACACACTATATATAGAACTCAAAATGAATTAAAGACCCAAATATAAGATCTAAAACGATAAAAACCCTAGAAGAAAACATAGAGGAAAAGCTTGCTGACATTGGAGTTGGCATATCAAGACTTTGGAACATGACTCCAAAAACACAGGGAGCAAAAATGGACAATTTGGGACTGCATCAAACTCAAAAACTTGTGCCTCAAAGGATACAGTCAACATATTAGAAAATGAACGTGTTGTAGGGAGGAAAATGCAAATCTTACATCTGATAAGAATTAATGTCCTGAGTAGATAAATAACATCTCAGCATGACCTAGTAACTCAATTAAAAATAGGCAATGTGGGAAGCATTGTGTCTTAGTGGGTAAAGCCTTTGCCTGTGATGCTGGCTTCCCATATGGGCACTAGTTTGAGTCCTAACTGCTCCGCTTCTGATCCAGCTCCTTGCTAATGCACCTGGGAAAGCAATGAGGATGGCCCAAGTGCTTGGGCCCCTGCACCCATGTGGGAGACCTGGAAGAATCTCCTGGCTCTTGGCTTAGGCCTGGCCCAGCTCCTGCTATTGTGGCCATTTGTGGAGTGAACCAGTGAATGGAAGATATTCTCGCTTTCTGTGTCTCCCTCCCCCCCATAACTGTGCTTTTCAAATAAATTTTTTAAAAAATAGGCAAAGAATTTAAACATTTCTCTAAGTATCATGTACAAATGGCCAATAAGCATATGCAAATATGGTTAACATAGCTAATTTTCAGAGAAATGCAAATCAAAACCCCAGTGAGAGATCATCTCACACCCATCAGGATGGCTTCAATAAAAAATACAGGAACTGACAAGCGTTGGTGAGAAAGTGAAAAAATTGGAACCCTTGTGTATTATCCCTAGAATAATAAGGTGGTATAGCCACTGTAGAAAACAGTATGGGGATTCTTCAAAACATTAAAAATAGAATTACCATATGATTCAGGAATACAATTTCTGGTATATTTCCAATAAATTGAAATTAGGGTCTTTTAATTTATTTTTGGGTTTTAAGATTTTTGTATTTAACTGACACATAATTGTACATTTATATGGGGTACTATGTGATATTTTAGCATGTATATGCTAAATGTGTAATGTCCAAACAGATGAACTGTGCCCATCTTTAAACAGTTAATATTTCTTTATGGTAAAAATTCAAGATTTTTTTTCCAGTTTTTATTTTTATTTTTTTGAAAAATATACAGTATGGGGCCAGTGCTGTGGCTCAGCAGGTTAACGCCCTGGCCTGAAGTGCCAGCATCCCATATGGGCGCTGGTTCTAGTGCCTGCTGCTCCTCTTCCAATCCAGCTCTCTGCTATGGCCTGGGAAAGCAGTAGAAGATGGCCCAAGTCCTTGGGCCCCTGCACCCAAGTGGGAGACCCAGAAGAAGCTCCTGCCTCCTGGCTTCGGATCGGTGTGGCTCCAGCCATTGTGGCCAACTGGGGAGTGATCCATCAGATGAAAGACCTCTCTCTCTCTCTCTGCCTGTCTTCTCTCTATGTAACTCTGACTTTCAAATAAAAAAAATTAAACAAAACAAAACAAAACAAAAACCAGTGTGTTACTTGTAATCCCTGCTATTGTATAATAGGATACCAGGACCTCCTACTTCCAACTATAACTTGTACCCATTAATTAACCTTTCCCATCTCTCCCTCCACCCTTCTCTCCCAGCCTTCAGTAACCACTATCATGTTTTTAATTCCTAGGGGAGAAACTTTTTAAGATTTCACATCAGTGAGGACACGTGGTACTTGTCTTTCTGTGCTTAGCTTATGTCACTTAACATAATAACCTCCAGTTCCATTGTTACACGTGACAAGATTTCCTTCTTTATTAATGGTTGAATTTGCACTGCACATATGTACTCTGTTTTTCTTATCTATTCATCAGTGGATGGACACTAAGGTTGCTTACATTTCTTGGCTGATGTGAATGGAGCCGTAACACATGTGCACAGAATGCAGTTTTCCTTTTCTCTGCTTCCACCTCAGGAATTGTCACCTTTTGGATTTTTTTTTAATAAAAGCCAGTTTAACCAGAGTGAGATGATAACTAGTTACAGTTTTGAGTTTTTCTTTGAATATTAGTAATGAATATTTTTTCATGTACCTGTTAGCCCTTGTCTTTGAGAAATATCTGTTGAAATCTACTACCTATATTTTTATTTGGATATAATTTTTTTGCTACTGAGTTGAGTTTCATAATTATTCTGGTTACTAACCCCTTATCAGATGTGAAACTTGTAAATATTTTCCTCAATTATGTAGATTGTCTCCTTTGTTTTTTTGCCTCCTCTGCTGTGCAGGGGTCTTTAGTTTGATGAAATCCTATTTGTCTATTTTTGCTTTTGTTTCTTATGCTTTAGGGATATGGTGAAAAAAATCCTTGCCCATTCCAATGTCCTAAAGTGTTTCCCCTATGTTCCTATGTTTTTCTCTAGTACTTTCTTAGGTTTGTCTTAGATCTAAGTATTTGGTCCATTTTAAGATGAGTTTTGTGCATGGTAAGAGATAGGGGCTTGTTTCATTCTTCTGCATGTAGTAATCCAATTTTGCAAACATGATTTATTGAAAAGACTCCTTTCTTCAATGTGTGTTCTTAGTGCTTTTGTCAAGATTAGTTTGCTGTAGATGAATGGGTTTGTATCTAGACTTTTCTGTTTTTATGTCAATATATACTGTTTTATTGTAGCTTTGTAATTTTTTTAATAAAGATTTATTTGAAAGGCAGAGTTACACAGACTCAGAGGCAGAGAGTGAGTGAGTCTTCCATCCTCTAGCAGAGAGCTGGATCAGAAGAGGAGCAGTTGGGACTAGAACCAGCACCCATATGGGATGCTGGCACTGCAGGCAGCGAGTTTTACCTGCTATGCCACAGTGTGGGCCCCTGGATGTGTGTTTTTTTTGTTTGTTTGTTTGTTTGTTTTTTGTTTTTGTTTTTGACAGGCAGAGTGGACAGTGAGAGAGACAGAGAGAAAGGTCTTCCTTTTGCCGTTGGTTCACCCTCCAATGGCTGCCGCGGCCTGCGCGCTGCGGCCGGTGCACCACGCTGATCCGAAGGCAGGAGTCAGTTGCTTCTCCTGGTCTCCCATGGGGTGCAGGGCCCAAGCACTTGGGCCATCCTCCACTGCACTCCCTGGCCACAGCAGAGAGCTGGCCTGGAAGAGGGGCAACCGGGACAGAATCTGGCACCCCGACCGGGACTAGAACCCGGTGTGCCGGTGCCACAAGGCGGAGGATTAGCCTAGTGAGCCGCGGCGCAGGCCCGTCCAAATTTTATTAGTGTTTCTTTTTCTCTAATTCTACCAAAAATGTCATATTTTTGACAGGCGTCTCATTGAATCTATAAATCATTTTGTATATTATGAATATTTTGATGATATTGATTCTTCCAGTTGATAAACATGGGATGTATTTCTGTTTCTTTGTGTCATCTTAAATTTCTTTCGTCAATGTTTTATAGTTTTCTTTCATCTTAAGTTTATTCCTAAGATTTAAAAAAATTTTTTTTGATAGTTATTGGATATGAGATTGCTTTCTTTATTTCTTTGTCAGACTATTTATTCACTATTGGTGTTAACACTATTGATTTGTATGTCTATGTCATACAACTTTGATGAATTTATTTCTTAGGTCTAATAATTTTTTGGTGGTCTTTGAGATGACATGTCCTTACAGAAAAATCCCAAGAGTGACAATGACTTCTTCCTTTTCACTTTGTATGCCCTTTATTTCTTTTTCCTTCCTAATTGTTCTGGACAGGACTTCCAGTGCTGTGTTGAATGAAAATAGTGTTCTTGTCCCAGATCTTAAAGGGTCTTCTACGTTTTACGCATTCAACACGAGGCTAGATGTTGACTTGTTATATGTGGCTTTTATTGTGTTGAGGTGTGTTCCCTCCATACTTAGTTTGTTTAGAGTCTTTGTCGGGAAGGGGTGTTAGATTTTGTCAAATACTTTTCTCCGTCTATTGAGATGATCATGAGTTTGGTTCCTCGTTCTGTTGATGTGTAGTGTGTCATGTTGATTTTGTATGTGTTTGAACCATCTTTGTATACTTGGGTTGAATTCCATTTGCTCCTGATGAATAATCTTTTAAATATGCTGTTGGATTCAGTTTACTAGATTTTGTTGAATTTTTGCATCTATGTTCATCAAGGATATTGGCCAGTAGCTTCTTTCCTTCATTCATTCCTTTGTTCCTTCACTTTTGTCTAGTTTTGGTATCAACTAATACTGACCTTATAAAATTAGTTTGGAAGAATTCCTCTCTTCTACATTTTGGAGTAATTTAAGAAAAATTGATATTAGTCCTTTTTAAGATATTTGGTAGAGTCCAGCAGTGAAGTCACCTGGACCTGGGCTTTTTATTTATTTTCTTGGTAGGAGATCGTTAGTTACTGTTTCAATCTCCTTACTCATTGTTGGTCTTATTTGGTGTTTATTTCTTTGTGGTTCCATCTGGAAAAGGTGTACGTGTCCAGGTATTTGTCCATTTCTTTCAGTTTATAAAATGTATTGCTGTATAATTGTAATAATTAATAACAATCCTTTGTATTCCTGTGGTGTCAATTGTAACATCTCCCTTTTCATCTTTAATTTTTAGTCGTTTCTTCTCCTTTCGTTAGCCTTAGCTAAGGTTTGTCCATTTTATTTATCTTTTTAAAGACCCAGCTCTTCATTTCATTATTTTTGGAACTCTATTTCATTTACTTCTGTTCTGATTTTTATTAGTTCTTATATTTTTTTATTTATTTTTGTTTTTCTAATTCCTTAAGGTACAGCAGTAAGTTTGAAATCATTCTGCTTTTATTTTTTTTAAGTGGGCATTGATTACCATAAACTTTCCTCTGTGTACTGCTTTTGCCATACCTCATAACTTTTGGTATGTTTCTGTTCCTGTTTTCATTCATGCCATGAAAGTTTTAAATTTCTTTTTCGATTTTTTTCTTTGATTTATTGGTTATTCAGTAAGATGTTTAATTTCCACATATTTATGTATTTTCCAACATTTTATTTGTTACTGATTTCCATTTTTGTTGCATTGTGGTCAGAAGAGATACTCAATAGGATTTCTGTCTAATGTGTTGAGACTGGCTTTGTGACCTAGTATATGATCTGCCCTGGAGACTGTGTGTGTGCTGGTAAGAAAAGTGTATTTTGCAGGTATTGGATGGAATATTCTTTTTTTTTTTTAGATTTTTATTTATTTATTTTAACAGGTAGAGTTACAAACAGTGAGAGAGAGACAGAGACAAAGGTCTTCCTTCCGTTGGTTCACTCCCCAAATGGCTGCTACAGCCGGCGCTGCGCCAATCCAAAGGCAGGAGCCAGGTGCCTCTTCCTGGTCTGCCACTCGGGTGCAGGGGCCCAAACACCTGGGCCATCCTTCACTGCCTTCCCAGGCCACAGCAGAGAGCTGGACTGGAAAACGAGCAACCAGGACTAGAACCCGGTGCCCATATGGGATGCTGGCGCCACAGGCGGAGGATTAGCCAAGTGAGCCATGGCGCTGGCCCCTGGATGGAATATTCTATAAATGTCTGTTTGGTCAGATTGGTCTGTAGTAAAATTAACTGCTGTTTCTTTGATTTTTTTGTTTGTGTGATCTGTATACTTCAATATATTGAAGTTCCCTACCATTATTATATTAGAAAATATCTCTGCCATTAGATCTGTATTGGGATGCAAATATATCTGATTTTTATCCTGGATGGATTAGACCCCTTATTGTATAATGGCCTTCTTGTCTCCTTTTGTTGCTTTTGATTTAAGTTCTGTTTTATCTGATATAAATATGGCTACTTTTTTTGTGTTCCATTTGCATGGAATATCTTAGTCTTTAATTTTCATTCTATGAGTGTCCTTTTAGATGAACTGAGTTTTCTTTAAGCAGTACATAGTTGGATCTTGTTTTATGCATTTGGTCACTCTTTTAATTGAGTTTAAAATTCATCTATATTTAAGATAATTATTGATAGGTAAGGTCTTACTACTGCCATTTTGATACTTTTTTAGTTTTATTATAGTGACTTTTTTTCTCCTTCTCTTTTAATCTTCCTCTGTGTTGACCTAAATTTCTCTAGTAGAGTGTTTGATTCTTTCCTTTCTTTGAGTTTTATCACTATATATTCAAATATGATTGCTCTGATAATTTCATTGTGTTTTGTTTATTAAATTTAGCCCATAAAACTTGCTATTCCTCCTTTTCAGGTTATTCTGGGCTTTATGAAGCCATTGCAAATTGGAATTTCCAAAAAATTGAAAAGTTGGAGGAATACAGAGCACTTTTGAAACGTTTACAACCAGCATTTAAAGACAGAATTGATCCAACATGTATCCTTCCTGAAATGTCTGACTGTATAATTAGTCAGGAATATGAAGAAATTATGCAGGTAAGTCAAATAAAATACTAACTTTAGGGGAAAGTAGTTGGAACATGGGGATGTCTTGTGTTGTCTCTACTGTTTTAGAACTGAAAACGATAATTGAAACACACATAAGTCCTTCTATAAGAGGCATAGTTACCTAGGAAGGTACTTGTAATGTGAACTGATTTTTATGTAACAATTTTTTCAAGTTTGCTCTATTTTCACTTAAAATTACTTTTTTCTGAATAATTCATGCAAATTTAAATACAGTCGACCAGTTCAGCAAAGAAAAATAATAAGAGAAAAGCTGGGGCCAGCACTGTGGCGTAGTGGGTAAAGCCGCTGCCTGCGGCACCAGTATCCCATATGGGTGCTGGTTTGAGTCCCAGCTGCTCCTCTTCTGATCCAACTCTCTGCTGTAGCCTGGGAAAGCAGTAGAAGGTGGCCCAAGTGCTTGGGCTTCTACACCTGCGTGGGAGACCCAGAAGAAGCTCCTGGCTTTGGATCAGCACAGCTCTGGCTGTTGTGGCTATTTGGGAAGTGAGCCAACATTTGGCAGGCGTTTCTCTCTGTCTCTCCCTCTGTCTGTGGCTCTGCCTCTTAAATAAATAAAAAAATGATTTTTTAAAAAAAGATTGTAGACTAGCAGTTAAGAATTTGTGCTATAGACGCATTAAATTTTTTGTACCTAGAAACCTTTTATTTAAGCTTTAGAAACTTGATGCATTTTATATATACAAATTTGGAAACAAAGTGATTCTTCCTACCCTATCCTCCCTCCCACCTGCATTCACAAGCTTTCTTCCTCCTCCCTCTCCTATTCCCTTTCTTATTTTTTACTAAGATCTGTTTTTTTTTTATTTGACAGGTAGAGTTATAGACAGAGAGAGAGACAGAGAGGAAGGTCTTTCTTCCATTGGTTCATCCCCCAAATGGCTGCTATGGCGGCGCTCCGCCGTTCCGAAGCCAGGAGCCAAGTGCTTCTTCCTGGTCTCCCATGCGGGTGCAGGGCTCAGGCACTTGGGCCATCCTCCAGTGCCCTCCTGGGTCACAGCAGAGAGCTGGACTGGAAGAGGAACAGCTGGGACTAGCACCTGGCGTCCATATGGGATGCCAGTGCCACAGGCAGAGGATTAACCAAGTGAACCACGTTGCTGGCCCCAAGATCTGTTTTCAATTAACTTTATACACATAAGATTAACTGTACACTAAGTAAAGAATTCAGTAAACAGTATGGGAAAAAAAAAAAAAAAACTGTTCCTCAACAGCTGGGACAAAGGCTGTTCAGTCATTGCATCTCAAGGTCTCAATTTCACTTCTGTAGATTACTTTTTAGGTACTCTGTTAGTTACCATGGATCAAGGAGAACATATGGTATTTGTCTTTTGGGGACTGGCTTATCATAATGTTTTCTAGTTCCATCCATTTTGTTGCGAATAACAGGATTTCATTTTTTTACTGCTGTATAGTACTCCAACATAGATAAATTTTGTTAGAATCTTGGCTCAACCATTTCCTAGTGTGTGATACTGAATAAGTTACTTAGCTTCTCTAAGCATCTGTTTTGTCATGCATAAAACGAGAATAATAACAGTACCTTAATATAACATTTTATAAGGGTTAAATAAGATAATATATGTAAAGTGCTTATACATGCTTGGCATATGATAATAAGTCCACAATACATTTTACTTCTTATGAATAGTGAAGCCACATAAATCCCTCTATCCTGAAAAGTCACATATTAATATTATGTTACGTTGTTCCACGTTTCACTCTGTGCCAATATCCTGAAAGTGTGAATGACTTGCAAATGGAATATTTTCCTAGTCTTACTTATAATGATAGGTATAAGAACTCAGGGGAGATGCGAAAGCTTCTCTTGACATAGTGACACCGATGTGTAAAGGACAAGGATAGGGCCTGCACTGTGTCATGGAAAGTTCAATTGTCACCATATGGGCACTGGTTTGAGTCCCAGCTGCTCCACTTCCAATCCAGCTCCCTCCATGTGCACCTGGGAAAGCAGCAGAGGCTGGCCCAAGTCTTTGGGCTCCTGCCACCCATATGGGAGACCTGGAAGATGTTACTGACTCCTGGCCCAGCCCTGACTATTGTTGCTATTTGGAGAGTGAACCAGTAGATGGGAGATCTCTCTCTCTCCTCTTCTCTTTTTCTGTATCTTTGCCTTTGAAATAAATAAATAATTTTTAAAAGGATAAGGATGAAGGAAAGAGTTTTAAAAGACTGTTGGATGGGAGAAAAATGGTTATGAACTATAATGTATGGTGATTTAAAATCATATAGCACTTGAAATTGACATTTTCTCATTGAAAACTCATACAAGGAAAACTTTTGAAATAATTGACAAATACACTGCTTTTCCTTTGTTTAGGTTTGCTCCAATAAGGGGATAATGGCAGGTGCAGAGAAAATGGCTGAATGCCTTCTCAGATCAGACAAGGAAAACTGGCCCAAAACTTTAAAACTTGCTTTGGATAATGATAACAACTCATTCAGTGAACTTTGGATGGTAGAGGAAGGTAGGTTATTCCAAGGAAGAGCTCTCCAATGGAGAGCAGTGTGCTCCTCCTGGTTGTACTTAGCGCTTCCCTTGTTCCTGCCTGTGTTCGCTTGCCAGCAAAGGCAGACTCCCCTTCAGATACCCAGGGCTGTGTCGCTACTGAGAGACCAGCATAAAGTCGAGTTCTAGGAGGAAGGTAGCTACTTGCATGCAGAATTCGTTTGGTTGTATATAACCTCTAAAACTGTATCAGGAAAAGATGCCCTCATCCTACATTTACCCATCTTGCCCAAAAAAATTTGGGGAAGGCCAAGTCTGAGCTCTCATCCTGGTTTAGATGATCTGAGATATAGCTTGAGAATTCTAGAATTACAGGTTCCAGTTCTCTAAGGCTTACCCCCTTTCCAAAGTAGAGTCATTGCCCAGTTCTCTTGTTGGGCACCACCTAAAACTGAACCAGAGCGGGAATAAAAGGAGAAAATTTGTGATGATTTGGGCTGTCATTTGACTTTTTGAAGCCAACATGTCCAAGCTTTGTTTTAAAGGATGGCTTTGGCATCATCCACATGTTCATCTTAGCGTTGCTTAGGCTTCTTTAGATTATAGGTTGTTTCCAAAAGTGTCTAAAATACATGTCTGATTCTTGGGTCCAGGGTCAGGTGTCTGCTAAATCACGCTGCTTTTCTCATGTAGACATAGTGTGTGTAGGACTCTTTTGAGTATTGTTAAAATTCATATTCTGATTCCACGGGATCTCAAGGTTCCATTTCTAACAAATTCCCAAAGTTGCTGATCCCGACTCCATACCTTAAATAATAAAGTCCTAAATGACTTTGAAGTTCAGACTCCAAACTGAGATAAAATGATTCTTTTAAGAAGTGAAGGGGAGTGTTTGTTAGAAATATTAGTGAAAGTTTAGCATTAGTGCTATAACTTCTTTTGTGACAGTTTCACCATCAGAACTATATTCAGATTATGTTAAGGTTCTGGAATGTTTTTTGATCTCACAAAGATGCCAAAGATGTTGAAGCTGAAGATCTTGAGGAGGACGACATGGGAACTTCCAGCATACATATTGTCTACCAGGAAGATCCACAGTTGGAGAATCTCAGTCAGAATTCATGTACACCTGCAGGTACTGCTATTATTTGTGCTTTTTCGTGATGGTGCTCTACAGGCATTTTGTGTGGGGACTTGCTTGGCAGTGCCAAAAGTCATAGCCTTATGAAAAAAGTTTGTAAAGAAAACTAAGGAAGACAAGAGAATTATGTCAAAAGAGATATTTTTCTATAATTAGAATTGCCACTCTTTCCATAGCTGCTAAGTGGACTTTAGAAATCTTTTATCACTAAAAGTATGTGTGTGTCTGTATTAGAAATGCAGTGTCCCTCCAGAAAATGAGTGTCTATGAAATTTATTATCTTTTTATTTATTTATTTTTTTTGATAGGCAGAGTGGACAGTGAGAGAGACAGAGAGAAAGGTCTTCCTTTTGCCATTGGTTCACCCTGCAATGGCCGCCATGGCCGGCGCATCGCGCTGATCAGGAGCCAGGTGCTTCTCCTGGTCTCCCATGCGGGTGCAGGGCCCAAGGACTTGGGCCGTCCTCCACTGCACTCCCTAGCCACAGCAGAGAGCTGGCCTGGAAGAGGGGCAACCGGGACAGAATCTGGCGCCACGACCGGGACTAGAACCTGCGGTGCCAGCGCCGCAGGTGGAGGATTAGCCTATTGAACTGCAGCGCTGGCCAATGTCTATGAAATTTAAAATCAGCTTTCCTCTCTAAAGAAATACCTCTACTGATTGTGAGCCACTCACTTAATTTCCTTTATTAATATCCCAGGGCTGCCATTCAAGTGTGTGAGGTTGGTGTGTTGCACACATGTGCTTGGCTTAGAGGTTGAGTGAGGGCTGAGATGCAGCCCGTGTTGTTTGCCAAAGGGTTATGTTCTCCAAAGAACTCCATTTCCCATTCACACTGAGGCTCTTGTGTGACGTCATTGTGGTCCGCTAAGGCCCCCGATGTGTCTGGAAGCATATTTTCATGACTGTTTCATTAGGGAACTAGGGATTTGCATAACATACCATATAAAATTTATTTATAAAAGGATATCAAGTAGGAAATTATGCTGAATGAAGAATACTCTTTGGGGAAAATGTGATTTTAGGATAACTCTTAAAGAAAATTGACAGATTACTTCTGCAAGTGAGTAATGCAAGTTTTGGGGGAGGAGAATCATTGCAGAATAAAATCAATGACTATAAGTTGCTTTAAATATCCCTGACATGTAAAGATCCTTATATGTCTTGTAAGTGAGGTTACCTCACTTTACCTTTTAAGAAGTTTTCCCTTTCTTAAAAATGGGTGGACTTGCTAGGTATTTCCAGTATTTTTTTCTAGTTCTTAATATGTTATATACTAACATGTTTTTGAGATTAAGTCCTTGGTTAGAGAAGCTGAATTGGTTACAAAGAGACAAGATTCTAAACTTTCTCTAACGAACCCTTCTTTCTACAGTCAGAATCATGTCTACTGGATTTTAGCTATTGCTGTGATTCCTCAGAGAGGTAACTGGAAATTTTGTTCCTTTTGTATTATAGAAGTATCTCGCGCTAAATTATGCAGCCAACTGAAACCAAGAAATTACCAGCTAGAGCTTGCTCTGCCTGCTATGAAGGGAAAAAACACAATAATATGTGCTCCTACTGGTAAGCCAATTGCTATTACTTACATAGTTTGTTTCTCTGTTGCTTTTTTCTTTTTTTCTTTTTTTTTTTTTGTTGAATACTGTGACATAATGGGCAATTTTCAGATTGTTCCTGTTCCATTTGTCTTTTGACAAAACTATCCTATTTAGACAGTCTCAACGAAAGGGAAGAAATGCCCTCTTTTAGTTTTTGTCCTGACTGTTTTGAGTGCATGTTACCTGCGAAGTAGCTTAATGTTTCTTTTTCTGGTCATAATTTCTAGTCAGTTCAATGATGTTAGAGGAGCCAAAAATGCAGAATTCTCTAGTATAATATTAGTTACATGTTTTCCTTTTCCTTGTATGTTAAAAGGTTGTGGAAAAACCTTTGTTTCACTTCTTATATGTGAACATCATCTTAAAACATTTCCACAAGGACAAAAAGGGAAGGTGGTGTTTTTTGCTAATCACGTCCCTGTGTATGAACAGCAGAAATCTGTGTTCTCAGAGTATTTTGAAAGACTTGGGTAGGTACAACAATCAGTCCAATGTCATGTTTCTCTAGCTTCATGCAATGAATTGTTTTCTGTTTTGTTTTTTAAAAGCCATGCTTACATTGTTTTATAATATTCAGCTTTTATATAAACTAGATGTTAATTCCTGCATGTAATTGAGTCTTTTCTTGTTATACATACTAGAAATTCTAAAGCCTCCTAGTTTTTATGGTTTGAGTAAACGATTTAACAGATAATGAACTCGCTTTAATAGGGATGAGGGTACCTTAACTGCTAGACTGAGTACCTATCCTAAATTTGACATTTAAATATCACATTTATCTTCTTTAATGATTTTATAATTTATTTGGTAATAGTCTTTGATCTACTCTCTCTGCTTTTAGTTACTTGAAAGAATGAATATATACTATGTTAACTACCTTGCATTTATTGATTATTTACCGTGTCAGGCTATGTGCTAAGGACTTGTCTCTAAATATATTCCTTTTGGATTTAAGATCGTCAGTTGTGGCTTCTCATCCACATTATGCTTGGTTAATAGGGGTTTCTGTCACTTCCCAGGTACAGTGTGGCAGGCATTGCTGGAGCAACAGTTGAGAATGTCCCCGTGCAACAAATCGTGGAGAACAATGACATCATTGTTTTAACGCCACAGATCCTTGTGAACAATCTTAAAGACGGAACTATTCCATCACTCTCTGTCTTCACTTTGATGATATTTGATGAATGTCACAATACTTGTAAACAACACCCATACAATAAGATCATGTTCTATTATCTGGATCAGAAACTTGGAGGATCTTCTGACCCACTGCCTCAGGTATGTCCACAGTCAGGAGAACTCCTTGGGAGAGGTATAATCTCCCTGAATTCCATTTACTTACACCTGTCACCACAGTGAGGATGTCCTTCTCAGGTCCTAAGTCATTATACAACTCATTGATCAATTTTGGTCCATTCATTTATTCAGTTAAGATATTAGCTGGGGGGCCGGCACTGTGGTGTAGTGGGTAAAGTCGCCACCTGCAGTGCAGGCATCCCATATGGGTGCTGGTTCGAGACCCGGCTGCTCCGCTTCTGATCCAGCTCTCTGCTTATGGCCTGGGAAAGAAGTAGAACATGGCCCAAGAGCTTGGTCCCCTGTACTCATGTGGGAGACCTAGAAGAAGCTCCTGGCTTTGGATTGGCCCAGCTCTGATGTTGCAGCCATTTGGGGAGTGATCCAGTGAATGGAAGACCTCTCTCTCTCCCTGTCTCCTCTACCCCTCTCTTTCCCTCCCTCCCTCTCTCCCTCCATCTCTCCCTCCCTCTCTCCCTCCCTCTCTCCCTCCTTCTCCCTCCCTCTCTCCCTCCCTCTCTCCCTCCTTCTCTATCCCTCTTTCTCTCTCCCTCTTTCTCTCTCCCTCCTCCTCTCTCCCTCCTCCTCTCTCCCACCTCCTCTCGCTCAAACAATCACTCACTCTGAGCCCCTCTCAAGGTATACAATAAAAATAAAATAAAACCTGTAAAAAAAAGAAAAAAAAAATATATATATAGAGTTATATATATATATATATATATATATATAGTGGGACCTCACTATCCAAGGAAGATGGTTCCAGGACCCTCTACACAGGTATAAAATCTATACATGCTCAAGACACCTTTACAAAATGGTAATACTCATCCACATTGTGCTTGGTTAATAGGGGTTTCTGTCACTTCCCAGGTACAGTGTGGCAGGCATATAATCCATGTACATCCTCCCATTTACTTTAAATAATTTCTGGACTACTGATTACACAATGCAAATGTTATTTTTTTAAAGATTTTTTTTTTTATTTTATTTATTCCACAAGTAGAGTTACAGTGAGAGGGAGAGACAGAGAGAAAGGTTTTCCTTCCATTGGTTCACCTCCCCAAAATGGCCGCTATAGCTGGCGCGCTGCGCCGATCTGAAGCCAGGAGCCAGGTGCTTCTTCCTGGTCTCCCATGCGGGTACAGGGCCCAAGCACTTGGGTCATCCTCCACTGCCCTCCCGGGCCACAGCAGAGAACTAGACTGGAAGAGGAGCAACCGGGACTAGAACCCAGGGCCCATATGTGATTCCTGCACTGCAGGTGAAGGATTAGCCAAGTGATCCACAGTGCTGGTCCCAGAATGCAAAGGTTATACTAGTAGTTGCTGTACTGTATTGTTTAGGGAGTAATGACAAGGGGAAGGTTTGTACATGTTCAGTACATGTACAGCTTTGTTTTTAACATTTTCAAGTTGTGGTTGGTTGAATCCATAGATACAGAACCTGTGGGTACAGAGGACTGATCATGTATATTGTATACCTCCATGTGCCTTGCACTGTGCCAGGCACTGGGGATACTAGTATAAAAAGACATAGCTTTGCCCTCAGACAGCGTGAATTTCATAGGGAGCTGGGCAAGGATGAATTATATCATAGGCCTGCTGTAGAGGCAGGACAAGAGCATGGTCAGAACCTAAGTGAAAGCACGCCTATGTGTGCAATGAAAGTAAGGCAACATCTAACAGAAGTTAGCTTGGGCCAAAGTTAACATGAGTTTTCCAGGTGGATAGCTGGATGGTTTGCAGTAAGAGGCTGCTGCTTGTCTAGAGGCACAGAAGTACCAAAGAGTGTGGTGTGCTCTGCAGTCTTGAAACTCTTCAGGATTACTAGAGGGTAGATTGTGAGGTAGGGAGTAGCAAGGCTGAATGGGAGAAGGGAATGACTGATAGAGCAACATGCCTGGAGACACCAGATGGTATAGGAGATGCAGGCAAGTAGATGAGTGTAATTAGACTTGGGGAGGAGCACCATCTTTAGCATCCTCAGGGAAGAAGAGGCAAGAAGAGTCAATTAAGATAGGTGCTCTTTGATGGGCGCAGGAAGGGATGGGGAATCTCTGGTGTGTAAATCCTCCCTTTTCTTGAACATGGGAGATGTAGATGAATTGCTGAAAATTCTCAATATTGGAAAGGGGTGGGAAGCTTGGGAAGGGTGGAGAGGAAGAACCGAGACGAATACATTGAAGATTTGTTGGTCATATTGAGGGCCCAGGTGAAGTTGGAAATCATGAATTTATGGCATATCAATCTACACATTTGTGTACAGTTCTGCAGCTCCAATAAGCATCAATTTAGGAAGCATAGGTTAGAAGAAATTCTGTAAGATACCTGCAGATCCAAAAAAAAAAAAAAAAGGCAATCATGTGTATTAGTCTTTTCTTCTGGAATAAAATTGGTGTAAACTAGATTACTTGCTGGTGGGTCAATTATTCAACGATTACTGAGTAGTTATTGGTGAAAGAAATGAATATTTATTAGGTGGCCATTATGCTAAATCTTTACAAATGCTATCATCCCAAGTCCAGGCACCTGCCATTTTAAACAGTGATTGTTTCCCAGCTTTATGGAGAGATGAAGATATTTGTCCGACACACAGCATAATATGGCTGAGGTTGTGACACGGCTGAGACACACGGGAAATGTGTCTGCTCTTCTTTCTTTTTCAGCGCGGTGTTCTCCATGTTGTGAAGGATGCAAGAGTTGAGAACTAAGCAGCCCTGTTCTGGATGGGCTTTCTCTCTCCGCTTCTCTGCTAATTTGTGTTTAGCTGATGAATTGTGACTCTTGTACTTAGTACTTTGATTTTCCATTTGCAATATCACTGAGAAAGTCAGGGAAAAACAACAGTATGCTTCTATCTGAAGTTAGTGAAAAAGAAAGCAAAACAGAAACCCTAATCCCAGCAGGACAGAATTCCTCAAGAGGCTGTGGACACAGCACTATTTCTCAGACATTGAATACCTTGGAATGTTTCTTATAGGTCGTTGGGATGACTGCCTCTGTTGGTGTTGGGGATGCCAAAAACACAGATGAAGCCGTGGAATATATCTGCAAACTCTGTGCTTCTCTTGATGCATCAGTAATAGCAACGGTCAAAGAGAATCTGGAAGAACTGCAAGAAATTGTTTATACGCCCCAGAAAAGTAAGTGAGATCCAGTAACAAGGCCTTCATTCTCTGCTACCCCTGATCCTGAGCCAGTTAGAGGAAGACTGAACTTTGACTTTCTCTCTGTTTAACAGAAAACATTTGACCCAAAGTTGGGAAATTGTGCCATGTTCAGTATCTCTCCTTAACTGAACTCTCTTCTCAGGCAACGGGTCAGTGTCAGAAGTGGCCTGTAAGGAGCCAGTGTTCCTATGCTTAAGTTCTATAAAGGGCTTATAAGGTCCTATCAGTGTAACAGAGGTACTGAGGAAAGTTAAGCATACAGATGATCAAGGACTGGCCCAGTCCTTCCCTGTGCTCCACATCTGAGGCAGATGCTGTGTAGTCACCATTGTTGTAATTGAAATAGCAGTCTCTGAATTCATCCTGTCTTGTCCCAGAAGATCAGGATATGGTGTTTGAAAGTAAGATTGACTAGCCGGTGCCGTGGCTCATTAGGCTAATCCTCCACCTATGGCACTGGCACCCCGGGTTCTAGTCCTGGTTGGGGCACCAGATTCTGTCCCGGTTGCTCCTCTTCCAGCCCAGCTCTCTGCTGTGGCCCGGGAGTGCAGTGGAGTATGGCCCAAGTGCTTGGGCCCTGCACCCCACGGGAGACCAGGAGAAGCAACTGGCTCCTGGTTTCCGATCGACGCAGCATGCCAGCTGCAACGCACCAGCTGTAGCAGCCATTTCAGGGGTGAACCAATGGAAAAAGGAAGACCTTTCTGTCTCTCTCCCACTGTCTAACTGTCTGAAAAAAAAAAAAAAAGATTGACTAGTGAATATTACTGACATCATTGTTATCCCAACCCTGTGCGCAGAAGGGAGTCCAGAAGGCAGGTGTGACTCATCCTTCTCTCTGAGTAACAAGTGGCTTATATGAACCTAAGGCAGAACAAATGTATGTGGAAGAGGCAGGAGCATGCTATGTTGTATTGGGCGACTGCCTATAAGGAGTTTCAAGAAAGTGCCCAAACGTGTTTTAGTATCACGTATGAATTACCCTGTAATCTGTCCCTCTGGGCTTCGGGTCCTCCCCGATTCCAGAAGTTCAAATGCACTGAATTCCCCTGGACTCCTCTGACGTACCATGTGCTTTCTCTCGCTAAAAATGACAGATATGGCTGCCTCCTTTCCTCTTTCCATGCTCTGCAACACTGTCTCCCCTAGAGAATTGGACATTCTTTTCTAGTGTTCCATAACACCTTGAGTCTGGTGTGGTTATGTATCTCTCTCTTCATTAAAAACAGACCTTTATAGAATACACAATGTGCTCTTTTTAACGGGCACTGTGACAGGGTACGTGATAGGCAGTTAATAAGTTTCTGCTGAAAGTATACAGAAATGGATGATGGTATCATCGTGAACACTCTTGAGGATTGTTTGGGGAGGGGGAATACTAAAGCACAGACAAGGTCTCAGGAAAGCCAGAGTGAGAAGTAAGATTAGCCGCTTTGGGTCCCCGCTGCCCCACTTCCCATCCAGCTCCCTGCTGATGCCCCTGGGAAAGCAGTGGAAGATGACCCAAGAAGTACTTGGACCCTCTTACCCATGTGGGAGATCTGGAAGAAGCCCCTGACTTCGGACTGACCATCTGGGGAGTGAACAAGCAGATAGAAGATCGATGTGTGTTTCTCCCCCTCCCCCTCCCCCTCCCCGTCCCCCTTCCCCTCCCCCTCTCCCTCCCCCTCTCCCTCTCCCTCCTCTCTTTGTAACTGTGCCTTTCAAATAAATAAATCTTAAAGAAACAGACACCCTAGACTGTGAAAAAGATGTCAGAATCGGTGCAGTAAGCAGTGGGGATTGATTTTGAAGTTTTTAGCATTTGGTTTGCCATATAGACCACTTGAATGTAAGCTGGGAGCCTCAGGGTCTTGGAGGAAATAACAGTGGGAGAGAAAGGTTTGGAGAGATCTACTCTGAACTACAACCCATCCTTCCCGAAATATACTTACTTTCCTTTGGCTCTAGTTTCCAGGAGAGTAGAATCACGGACTACCAATGGATTTAAACGCATCATATCTCAGCTGATGAGAGAGACAGAAAGTCTGGCAAAGGATGTCTTTGAAGAACTGGGTGAGTTCCACTCCAATTCTCAGTTACATAAATCCCATATTCTGTGTCCTCAACACTTGGAAAAGCCATATATTGTTCATTAATGTAATTTTGTATTCTTCTTGGTTCAGGCAATGTCAAAACAATAATCAGTGATTGACTTTCCTGATTATAGGTTATTCAGGGTTCTTGTAAGCCCTTCTTTATTCTCACTTATTTTTTTTTCTCTTAAAATCCAAAGTAAATTTATCTAGATGTGTGTATTTAGATGAGGTCATCATTTTCTAGAACTTCCAAATTAGCTTTCCAAATTAGCTGACATCTATATTTATATGAATGAAACCACCATTCCTCTACTGGTTCAGATTCCAACCTGGGAGGTAATCAATCTTTGATTCTTTATTCTTTTGAAATGTCCTTGTACAGTCACCAAGTTCTCTCCTTCCCCTTTTTATTTCTTCATTGACTAAATATTTATCATGCTAGGTAATGGAAATATGAAGGTTAAAGTCTTAGTCCCTACACATAAGAAACTCATAATGACATAACGGGAATCTGATGCAAAAAGTTTCCATTTGGCAGGGCACCCACACGCTGCCTACTATGGTAGTGTGTAGGGACTTTGTCCTAGATTGAGTTGTACAAAAAACTTTCTGGGGGAGCTGATGCTTGTGAAACAAACCTTGAAAGGTCAAGTGAGATTGAAAGGAGAGAAAGCAAAAAGGAGAGTGAAGCTGGGAGTTGCAGAAGTGGCAAGCATTGTTTGGGAATCCTACTGTGTGTAGAGTGAAAAGGAATGAAACCAGAAGAGAAGTGGGGGGGCATAGGAAGGCCCTGGTGTGCCACCCTGGGTTTGAATTTTGCACTAAGAGTAATGGAAAGCAGCTGAAGATTTTAAACTGTTTGGTGATGTGATAATGGAAGCAGCTCATGAAAGGGAGGATGGGCAGTTCAGATGGGTTGGAGAAGGGTAGGAGGCACGTGCAAGGTGCTTTCATTGCAAGTGCTGAGATTGAATGGGTAACTGGATTTGAGGGGCAGTGAGGGAGGGAAGGGGGGAGGTAACCTCCACCTGCACTTCTAGTTTGGGCACCTGTGTGCATGCTGGTAGGTTGTACTGCCACAGCAGGGAGAAGCTTTGGCAAGTACAAGGGGAGTTTAGAATTTTGAAGATGTTGAATTTGTAGTGTCTCTCCTTCCCTCATACTTACTTTGCTTTTTCTTTTTTCTTTCCAAGCTTAAGTTAGGACCTATTTCAATAGCCTGGTTTTCCATCTCTTCCATTCGTCTTCCCCATTAACTGGTTAGTCTTCTTGAAATACCAGTTTTATTATCTAAATACCCTGCTTAAAATTCTTTGCTTGCAGGATAATCTTTAAGTCCTCTAACTTGACAGTGTGAGTTCTGCCTGAACAATCAGGTTCTGCTTATCTTTCCAATTCTTCTTCTCTACATGGAGTACTTGATACAGCAATTCCTTGAGCATATCCGTTCATTCATTCAGTGCTAGGCAATATGCTAGGTGATGGGAATACGGCATGGATTTGAGACACAACTCCTGTCCTTGTGGGATTTCCAGTCTAATGGTGAAGCCCAGATTAGATGATGATAATAACAACAACAATTATAAAGCAGCTGGAGGGAGACAGGTAGTGATGTTAAGATGTGTTTCACTGCATGTGCAAAGGCCAGGAGACCAGCAAGAGTGTAGGAACTTCTGTTAGCCTTGTGAAGTGCAGAAGGGAGAGAGGCTAGAGATGGCAATTAGAAGGCAGAGGCAGATCACAGAGCCAGATGGATTAGTCTGCTTTTCATTGCTGTAAAGAAATACCTGAGGCTGCGTAACTTACAAAGAAGAGACGTTTATTGAGCTCACAGTTTTGGAGGCTGAAAGACCAAGCGGCGTGATGCTGGCTCTGTGAAGGCCTCCTGGCAGAGGGCACCCAAAGGGCGCATGTGCAGGAGGAGGAGCCATCTCCAGACCGGAGAATGAACGTCAGGGAGGGGTTTGGTCGTTTACAATTCTCCCTGCAGAACTGAGGTCCCATGAGAATGACATTAATCCCACCATGTTTTAACGTTGCCACACTGGGACCAAGCTTCCAACGCATGACCCTTAAACCATATCCAAACCACAACACCAGCTAAGTCTTCGGCTGGAGCAATCTACTAAAGGGTTTTAAGTGGTGGGGCATCAGAGTTTCTCATCTGCGATTTGGAAACTCCTTCTAGCTGTGTGCAGGGAATAGATTGAGGGAAGAAGGCGAGAGGTGAGGAGACGAGTTAGAAGGCTGTCATCTAGGAGTAAGATCACAGGGTCTGATGGGGAGGTAGCGATAGAGTCACATGCACTTCTACTTTCTTATTCTCACCTCAGGTGAACCCTACCTCTACCATTTTGCCAGTTCAAATCCTGTCAACTGCTCATTTCCAAATTGCTTAGGTTATTTTCATACCTACCCAAGTTCAATAAATACTGTTGGTCCATTTAGTTTACAGTTGGCTACCTCATTTGTAGCCAGGGCTATCAGGTTAATGCTGTTTGTTTGGGTACCTTGTTTGGTTCTTCTTATTATTAACCCATAAATACAACTCTTGCTCGTGAATTTTATTGTACTTTGCTCTCCTTAAGGAACAGCGTAACTCATAGACTAAGCTACTTGAGGCCAGAGCTGCATTTTCATTATCTTAGCCCGAGCACCCGACACAGAGCCCAAGCCACAGCAGTTCTTTCATTTTTTTCATCCACCTGTTGATATTTAGGAGATGCTCACCTACAGTTGTGTCTGTGGCAAGTGACTTTGTAGCGCCTGCCCTGTGAGTGCTTCGCTGGAGATCAGAAGGCCTAAGGTCACAGTAATGGGCCTCGTTGAATCCTGATCCTCCTGTTTTAAAGGTCTTGCGATGACCCTCTTGAAAGTTGTTTTTGTACTCATCGCTTCTTCATTTTTTAAAAGCAAAATTTTCTTCTTTTTTTTTTTTGTTTCTGTTGTTTTTTTTTTTCCATTCATGTCTGTCATCTTTCCTCTGGATTGCTCTGGTTTTGTCTGCTCATAGAACCAATAGAGACTGGGCATCAGACACTCTGGGTTTGAATTATTATCTTCCTTCTGCGTGGGTAAATTATTTAGCTTTTCTGAACTTCAGTTTCTTTGTAAAATGTAATATCTACCTCATGAGGTTGTGAACATTAAATAAAATGTGAGGGCAGGACCTGACTTTTGGCACATAGTAAGCATTTAGTAAATAATCTTCTAGACACAGATACACTACTGAAAAATCAGACTATATCAGGAAGAAATCCCTGTTCACAGAGGCTGGGAAAGGAAATAAGAGGATGAGGTGTGTTTAAAACCTTAAATGATTAAGCATACAGCATGATGAAAAAAAATTTTTTCCCCCCCAGAAAACTTATCTCAAATCCAGAACAGGGAATTTGGAACACAGAAGTACGAACAGTGGATTGTCGAAGTCCATAAAGCGTGCAGGACGTTTCAGCTGCCAGACAAAGATGAAGAGAGCAGGATCTGTAAAGCGCTATATTTGTACACTTCCCATTTGCGGGTATGTTACTTTTTTACAAAATATTTTATTTTGAAAGGCTAGACACAGAAACAGAGGATCTGCACTGTGGCAGCTGAGAAAACGTCAACTTCTCATTTTGTCTCTAAGAGCTCACTTAGGAACCTTTCCAGAAAGTTCTTATACGCAAACTCCTGGAGTTGTCCTATTAATATCGTCTTAATTTGTTACTGACGTTTAACCCTAAAGACAACAGAACTGGAAGAAGGGCTCAGATTCTATGCCGTGCCTCCTATATTCCCATAAGTAACATGGTTAGCAAAATTTGATGCTGACAGACATAACTCTTGGTGTGTGACCAGTGACAGCCATTTTTAAAGTTCAGGCAGTGAGTCCTGCTGCCATTTCTGGAAGTGTATGTTCCTTTCCTTTGGTAAAGAAGTCCAGAGTCTCTGGTTAACCAAAGTTAGGAAACAGCAGTAACAACCTCTGCTTATTGTGCCATTGAAAATATTTTAAAATGCATTCAATTAGCAGGCATTTGTAGAATTTTAGTGAGCTCAGTTGAACTTGGCTGTAGATGGTGAGTGCCATCATTATGAAAAGTGTTTACTATTTAGTGATTGCATCCTATGTATAAAGAATTTAGTTGAGTCTGAATTATAAGGCAAGATGTGGAAATCGATTTGTTTTTGTTACTGTTTTTAAATCTTTGACATGAGTTTCCATGTATCTTTCTTGCTAGAAAGAGTTCTAAAATCCAAAGTGATTGTAATTAATCAACATTTCTGGCTGAGATTTTTAGAAGCAGTATTTGGTTCAAAGGTTTTATCATGGAACCAATAGAGGCTATTCATCTTCAACAACAACAAACCTGAGTTGGAACAGACTTGAGAAGCTTTCTAAAAATTAACTCTGTGTGAAGTACAGCTAATTGAACTGAACCCTGGGACTACCTGAGTCATACTGAATCTCGGTTTTCATTTCATACAGAAGTACAACGATGCCCTCATTATCAGTGAGCACGCACAAATGAAAGATGCCCTGAATTACTTAAACAATTTCTTCAAAGATGTCCGAGCAGCAGGATTTGATGAGACTGAACAAGATCTTACCCGGAGATTTGAAGGTGGGTGGGGCTTTCAGAGGAAGCAGCTGTTGGAGCTGCCACCTGCTGCTGTGGACAGTTACTTTGACCGTTTCCTGTTGGGAAGAAGGGTGCTTCCCATGCAGTTGATCAGTAGTAGCATTCTTCTGAAAAAACTTTCAGGAATTTTATTAAGACATATAAAACACTAAAAGATGTTTTAATGACATAAAATTATTTATATATTGTTATATGAAGAAAACCAAAATGACCCATAATCCCACTCCTTCAGACTACCAAAAATATGGAAAGATACTAAATGAAAATAAGTTCTTATTTCTCCTCCTCTTGATTTCCTTTTCACAGAGGTAATTACTTTTTTTTTTTTTTTTTTGCTTATCCTGAAGCATTTACTATACTTACATGCAGTCAGCTATTAGTGGAAATAATGTGTGCGTCTCTACGTATTTAAGTTAATTATAAATTTTATTGATATAGAGGATATATAACACATGCTTTACAAATAATAAAAAATGTAATGCTCTTTATTATAAATTTCATGTAGCCAAGTGACTTTTATATAAAGATACTTTAGAAAATTCATGGAGAAATTTTTTGAAAAGTATAGGCATTTGGTATAGCATTTAAGATGCCTCTTGGGATACCTGCATACCATATCAGAGTGCCTGGGTTTGTTTGAGTCCTGGTTCTGCTACCAATTCCAACTTCCTACTATTGCATACCCTGGGAGGCTGTAGTGATGGCTCAAGTAGTTGGGTCCCTGCCAAACCATGGGAGACATGGATTGAGTTTCCAGTTCCTGGTCTTGACCTGGCCTGCCCCAAGCTGTCTGAGGGTATTTGGGGAGTGAACCAATGGACCAGTGATCTCATTGCCCTTCAAATAAAATATAAAAATTTAAAGAAAAAAATTAAATTTAAATAAAAAATTAACAAAAAATGTTTTAAATCCAGTTTAAATGCAGTTGGGGCTGGCATTGTGACACTGTGGGTTAACTTTACCTGCAATGCCAACATTCCACATAGGAGCACCAGTACAAGTCCCAGTGGCTCCACTTCCCATCCAGCTCACTGCTAATGTGGCTGAGAAAGCAACAGAAGATGGCCAAGTGCTTGGGCTCCTGCCAATCACGTGGGAGACCTGGATGGAATTCGAGGCTCCTGTTGTTGGCCTGGCCCAGGTCTGGCTGTTGTAGCCATTTAGTGGGTAAACCAGAGTATGGATGATCTTTCTCTCCCTGTCACTCTGCCTTTCAAATAAGTTAAGTCTTTAAAAAAAATCCATGCAATTTTCTCAGAATAGACATTTCCATGAACTTCTTGAAGACCCCTTGTAAAATGCTTCTGGTGGTTTTTTCCAGAACTTTTGTATCCATAGCCATTTTATGGTTGCAGTTGACAAATATAGTACTGATATGGAGGTTGGTATGTATTTTTATTAATGTTAGAAGTAAAAGGAAAATAAAAAGAATATATTTTGGAGCATCATTTGTTGATATGAGTAACTTGGATAACAGTTTTCAAACATTGGGAGAATATCTCCTCACTTTTCATGTTATTTGCAATGGAATAGTTATCTGCATTATTCTCATCACTTTCATAAGTCTAGACTGTCAACAAAACAGAAAATCAAGTACTGATTTTTAGTGTTCTCTTGATTCCCATGGGATAAAAACTTCCATTCTGGTTAATTTTAAGCCACCATTATTATGTCCTTCAGCTGATATAAAAAACATGATCAGTAGTACACATTGTTCAGTGTAATTTTGCCATGCAAGAACAATAGAGGTAAATAACCACAAAAGTATAGATAATAGTGAAAAGTAATAAAAGGAAGTACTGAGTTGGGGGTTATTACATTCGTTTTTAATGTGAGTTGCTGAATTATAAGTTAATTAAATTTTATATTGTTTTTATATAATTTATATAATTATATTTAATATAATTATATATTTTATATAATATGGTGTAATTAATTATATAATTAAGTTTTAAATCAATCTGTTTGAAACTGGCTCACATAACTCTTGGAAATTTAATAATGCAATCTCCCACTCTGGTATGATCTGGCTCTAGAATGTTTTCAAAGATGGAATCATAATACATTGTCTTATATTTTGACTTTTGCTTACGATATGTGAGACTTTTCTATATCAGCATATATATTAGGTCTGTAATCTATTGTAACAGCCAATTTTTTTTTTTTTTTTTTGACAGGCAGAGTTAGACAGTGAGAGAGAGAAACAGAGAGTAAGGTCTTCCTTCCATTGGTTCACCCCCCAAATGGCCACTATGGCTGGCGCACTGCGCTGATCCGAAGCCAGGAGGCAGGTGCTTCCTCCTGGTCTCCCATGTGGGTGCAGGGCCAAAGAACTTGGGCCATCCTCCACTGCCTTCCCGGGCCACAGCAGAGAGCTGGCCTGGAAAAGGAGCAACTGGGACAGAATCCAGCGCCCCAACTGGGACTAGAACCCAGTGTGCCGGTGCCACAGGTGGAGGATTAGCTTAGTGAGCCACGGTGCTGGCAAGCCAAATTGTTTTAATATTAAATTCATGACCCTTAATCTATTGACTTATTTTCCTATTTGTGGAGTATTTTTCTTTTGTTTTTCATATTCTAAGCAATATTACAATGGACATCCTTGGAGATATCTCATAATTTTATAAATGTACTTTTGGCTCAAATTCCTAAATGTAGAATTATTGAAATTTAAAGGATGTATATACTTTGTGTTTTGATATTGACATTTACTCTCCTGAAAGTTGTATCTGTTGGTAGTTATAACTTAGAAAATTGTAGTCAAAGATTGAGAGATTGATTGAACTATAAAGGTCACAGCATATTCTAGATTTTTAGAAATCACAAGTATTTGTAAAATGTTCCTCATTTACAGGAAAGGTGCAGGAACTAGAAACAGTTTCCATGGATCCCAGCAATGAGAATCCTAAACTCAAAGACCTGTACCTCATTTTACAAGAGGAGTACCACGTCAATCCGGAGACCAAAACCATTCTGTTCGTGAAAACCAGAGCCCTTGTGGACGTAAGTCTTGTTTTCCTCTGGAGAACAAATCGACCCAGTACTGCTTGTTGGAAAGATTGCGTTTTTCTCACTGCTCTGCATGTGTGGGTTGGTTTCTGGGTCCTCACTGTGTTCTGATTATATTTGTTTGTCCTTGCACTGGACTTCATCGTCTTAGTCACCCTAGTTTACGCACCTGTAGAGCAAGCACATCATCCTCCTTTGTGCTGTTTCTCAAGGTTTTTATTTCTAACCGTTCCGTGGGTGTGTGATGTACGTCACCAGCCTTTTACTTTGCATCTCATTAATGACTGATGCGACTGCGCTGCTTTCACATTCTTACTAGCTCATCGGTGTCTTCGTTGGTGAGGGGTCTGGATCTTTATTACCCATTGTTAAGTGAGTGGGTTATCATTTGGTGGGTGAATTTTTGAAAGTTCTGCTTATATTCTGAAAGAGAAATCTCTGCCAGAAGTGTGATTTACAATTATCTTTTGGCCCATGGGCTGTCTTTTCATTATCTTAACAGATTGAAAGTTTTAAATTTTGACAGAGTCCAATGTATCAGTTTTTCTTGATTTTGCCTGTGGTAGCATAGTTAAGAACACTGTTTACCTGGGATCCTGATAGAAGTTTTATAGTTTTACATTTTAATTTAGGTCTATAATCTACTTTGAATGAATTTTTGTATCAAGAGTGAGGTATGTGTTGAGATGCATTTTTTCCTTTGTGCATTTAGACATATAATTTGCCAGCACTGTGTGTTGAGAAGACTGTCTGCTTCATTGCAATGCTTTTGTAACATTAGAAAAATCACACTAGTGTATTTGCATGGATCTGTTTCCGGACTCTTCCATTTATCTATACATTTATCCTTTTGCCCATCCCACTCTGTATTGATAACCATAGCTTTATGGTGAGTCTTGAAATAGAGTGGCATGACTCTTCCAGCTTTTTATTTTAGTTACATTTCATTACTTTTCCATACACATTTTAGAATCCACTCATCTACGTATATGAAAAAGTTTGCTGGGATTTTGTTTAGCACTGTATTTAATCTGTAGCCAAAACTAGGGGGAAATGACATCAATACTGAGTGTTCCAGTCCATGACTGGAGTATAGTCTTCATTGATGTGGGGGTTCTGTGTTATTTATGTTCTGCTGAGTAACACTTTACCCCACAATTTAGAGTCTGGGAACAACAGACCTTTATTACAACATCCAAGGGTCACGAATTTGGAAACAATTGTGTGTTTCTGACTCAGGGCCTCTGCTGAGGCTGTAATCAAATTGTTGCCCATGGCTGTAGTCACCTCAAGGCTTGCCTTGGGAAGATCAGCTTTCTAGCTCACTTCATGGGGCTGTCGGCAGGACTCAGAAGATATGCTCCCAAGTTCACTCAAGTGAGCTTCTCCACAGAGCTGCCTGTAATAAGGCAGCTGGCTTTCCCTAGAGTCAATGCTCCAAGAGAGATTGAGGGAGAAAGTGTTGAATTTGAAAGCCACAGTTATAAGTTCATCTTGAAAAAAACATCACATCATGTCTATTGTATTTTATTCATTAGAAGCTAGTTAGTAAGTTGAGTTCACACTCAAAGGGAGGGGATTACACAGGGATCTGAATCAGGAGATGGAGATCATTGAGGGCTTCCTTAGAGGCTACCTGTCACATCTTTGGTTTCTTTTTATCAGTTTTTTGCTCATTTTTGGCACAGGGATTCTGCACACATTTTATCTAGATTTTTTTTTAATACATTTACTTTTAAATTCAATTTCCATAAACTTTTTTTTTAAAGATTTCTTTATTTGAAAAGCAGAGTTACAGAGAGGCAGAGAGGCAGAGAGAGAGAGAGAGAGAGAGTCTTCTATCCGCTGGTTCACTACCAAAAGGTCGCAACGGCCGGAGCTGCGCTGATCCAAAGCCAGGAGCTTCCTCTGGATCTCCCATGTGGGTGCAGGGGCCCAGACACCTGGGCCATCTTCTACTGCTTTCCCAGACCATAACAAAGAGTTGGATTGGAAGTGGAGCAGCTGGGACTCGAACCAGTGCCCATATGGGATACCGGCAATGGAGGCAGCAGCTTTACTCACTATGCCACAGTGCCAGCCTCACTGTTAATTAATTAATTAATTTTTTTTTTTAAAGATTTATCTACCTGAAAGGTAGTTAGAGATGGAAGAGGAGAGAGAGAGAGAGAGAGAGAGAGTGAGTGATTTTCTATCTGTTGGTTCACTGGCCTGATGGCTGCAATGGCTGGAGCTGGGCCAGGAGCTCTGTCCCGGTCTCCTAAATGAGTAGTGGGGCCCAAGCACTTGCAGCAGCTGTGAGCTGGATTGGAAGCAGAGCTGGGACTCAAACCAGTGCTCTGATATTGGATGTTGCCATCAAAGGCAGTGGCTAAACTTGCTGCATTACAATGCTAGCCCCTAAGTATTAATATTTTGGTGGTGGTAAAAATGGTACTAGGGGCTGGTCCTGTGGCATAGTGGGTAAAGCTGCAGCCTGCAGTGCTGGCATCCCATATGGGCACTGGTTCGGGTCCTGGCTGTTCCATTTCCAATCCAGCTCTATGCTATGGCCTGGGAAAGCAGAAGAAGATGGCCCAAGTCCTTGGGCCCCTGCACCCATGTGGGAGACCTGGAAGAAGCTCCTGGCTTCCGACTGGTGCAGCTCTAGGCGTTGAGGACATCTGGGGAGTAAACCAGTGGATGGAAGACCCCTCTCTCTCTCTCTCTCTCTCTGCCTCTGTGTCTCTGCCTTTAAAATAAATAAATCTTTAAAAAAGGTACTAAAAATTTCAAATTCCAATTGCTCACTGCTAGTGTATAGAAATATAATTTATGTATATTGATCTTGTGTCCTATAATCTTACTGAACTCATATTTCTACACAATCAATGTCCTTGACTTTGTATTTTTTTTTTAACTTAAAAAACACAACTTGGAGGGCCAATGCCGCGGCTCACTAGTCTAATCCTCCGCCTTGCAGCGCCAGCACACCGGGTTCTAGTGCTGGTTGGGGCGCTGGATTCTGTCCCGGCTGCCCGTCTTCCAGGCCAGCTCTCTGCTGTGGCCTGGGAGTGCAGTGGAGGATGGCCCAGGTGCTTGGGCCCTGCACCCACATGGGAGACCAGGAGGAAGCACCTGGCTCCTGCCTTTGGATCAGTGTGGTGCGCCGGCCATAGTGGCCATTGGAGGGTGACCCAATGGCAAAAGGAAGACCTTTCTCTCTGTCTCTCTCCCTCACTTTCCACTCTGCCTGTCCCAAAAAAACCAAAACAAACAAACAAACAAAAACAAACAAACAAAAAAAAACACACACGCAACTTGGAGATTAAATCATATTAGGTCACAAAGATCTATTCCATTACAGTGAATTATTGCATGGAGTTTAATTCCAAGAACTTTTTTCCCTCATGTTTTTCAGTCTGAAAACTGAACAGTTTTTCTTTTTGCATATGTTCCAATAATTAATAGAGGGTTGACAAATGGAGTCCAAGTGATAATTGCTTTTTCTTTTTAGGCTATAAAGAAGTGGATTGAGGAAAATTCTAAACTCAGCTTTCTAAAGCCTGGCATATTGACTGGACGTGGCAAAACTAGTCAGACTACAGGTATTTATATAGAGAGAATTAAATTTAAAATGTCATGCATATATGGATGTATATAATATTAAAATACCATAATATCTTTTTAAGGCTTGTATCAGTCAGAGTTCAACCAGAAAAGCAATACCAGTGGGAGATTCAACATAAAGGGCCAATACTTTTTTTGGGATAACCTTGCTAAAGTCACACAACTAGTAAGGACAAGATTTCAACTTGGGCACTCTGGTGGCAGAATCTAAGCTGTTAGAGGTCACCCTACATGCCTTTTCTAAAGTAGGCATAGGAATAGACCCTGTAGCCCAGGGTTGTTGTGACATTGTGAAGATAAAGCACTAATAACAGTATTTGACATGTAACAAGCATTATGTAATTGCAAGCTACTTTTGTACCAGGGGAAAGTTCCATCTTTGGTGAGTTGTTTAACTCCCTCTTCCTCTGATACAGGAATGACCCTTCCAGCACAGAAATGTGTACTGGATGCATTCAGAAGCAATGGAGACCACAATATTTTGATTGCCACCTCAGTTGCTGATGAAGGCATTGACATTGCTCAGTGCAATCTGGTCATCCTGTATGAGTACGTGGGCAATGTCATCAAAATGATCCAGACCAGAGGTGAGAGCAGCTTCGATGCCATTCCTCCATCTGTAGACTTCTCCTCTGATTTGCAACTGTGTTGGTCTTTTGGCTTTTCTCCTTTACTGAGCTGTGGCTGTGTAGGTGATCAGTGGCACAGTGGACTCTGGAATCTTGGCCCTACATGTGACTGACCTGGACAGAATGGGTGGTGTTGACAGTCGTTCTTGTTCTCAGTGATACTGCTTATTTGCCCAATGTGGACTGAGATACTTACGAAAGGACAGTTCCAGTGTGGGCTGAGGCTTTGCAGGTCACCGTGTAGATCGTCCCCGGTTGTGCTTGTGGTGCTGGTGGGCTCCTTGTATTCCAGAAGACGTATTTTGGAGTTCTTCTGTTCCACCTGGATTAGATGTCTCTTAACAAGTTTCTCCTCCTTTTTTCCTTTCTTTTTTCTAAGAACAGCTGCCACATGACTTTCCCCAAAAATCAGTTCTGAGCATCTCATTTCCTTGTATAGAAACTCCAGTGGCTCCTCAATTCATTTAATGTTGACTTACTTATTTGAAAGGCTGACTTAGACTCTCCCAGCTGCTGTTTCACTCCCCAAATGGATGCAATGGCTGGGATGAGGCCAAGTCAAAGCCAGAAACCTGGACCTGCATTCAGGTCTCTCACATGGGTGGAAGGGGCCCCAGCACTTGGACTGCCTGGCGCTGCTTTCCGGGCACATTAGCAGGGAGAAGGGTGGGAATGAAGCAGTCGGGCTCCAACTGGTGCCCATATGGAATTCTGGAGTCACAGTGGCAGCTTAACCCACTGCACCACAATGCTGGCCCAGTGTTGAATTTTGCAAATTTCACCTGCTTTCCAGTCTTATCTCCTATTCTTCCCCTTGGTACAGTATCCGTTTCAGCCAGTTCACCTCATCATTCACTGAGTGTTAAAGGAGTTGCTTGAGTGCTACTATGCTTCACTTTCCTTCTTCTCCTGACGTCATAGCACCTGACCCTAATTCCTCCGGCTGGCAGCAGTCTCTCTTTGAATGTCCCATAGCCCTTTATAGTTATCCTTGCAATAGAACTTAACAGTTTTCCACGTATGTTCTGGTGCTTGTGGATATATCTTATTTCTGCATTGCCTAAAAGGCTCTTGAGGGAGGATATACTTATTTATCTTAGAGCCTCCACAATGTAATGCTGAGATTTTGTGTTGCTTTTCTTTAATTGGAGTTTTTGGCAATATGACTGTCCAGTCACACCATGTCACTGCAGGCCCTGAGCAGCCTACTGTGGACTCTCGTTTTCCCTCATGTTTTATATGTTGGGCTCATGCCACTGTTGAACAGCTCAGCTTCCTTCCTACAAAGTTGGATTCTGTGAATTAAAGTTAAATTTTATTTTTACCTGCTTCCCTTGATTCTAGTATCGCTATTTTTTCCAGAGATTTTAGCAAAAACACGAAATAAAAAATTTATTTCCTAATAGGCAGAGGAAGAGCAAAAGGGAGCAAGTGCCTGCTTTTGACTAGCAATGCCGATGTAATTGAAAAAGAAAATATAAACATGTACAAGGAGAAAATGATGAATGAATCCATTTTAAGACTTCAGACATGCGATGAAGCAAAATTTAAAAAAAAGGTAAGTCTCTTCATCTGTGTTATTCTCTCAGCATCTTACCATGAATAACAAACATGGGGTGTGTGAGCATGGTTGGTACCTTTTATCATATTGCTTGCAGTGGCGTTATTAGAACAGTAAGTTTATGCTAAGTTTCAACCTGTAGTGGACATCAGATTCATTCTGTTTTAAACTGTCCATGAGATTACAGTAAATGAGGTAAATTTCCCTAGGGCTGATTCCTCAAAGTATGTTTTTAGTTCTATAAGGCAAACTGAGCCAGAACGGCTCCTTAGTTGACATTTCATGTTAAGGAACTGCACTGTAACGCTGCAGGAAGCTTAGTCTCCTCTGCAGATCTCTGTCTCACATCTAGAGTCCTTAGAAAAACGCTGCTGTGCAGGTGTTGAGATGCCTGTTTGTAGCTGTGGACAATAATGTATGCCTTGGAGAGGCACACTCGTTCTCATCAGCCTCTTGGTAGTGGCCTTTGTTTTGCTGTAGTTCCCTTGTTATGCACAGAGTCATGACATTGAACTGGAGAACGCAGAATTTTGTTCAGATCCTTTGCATACCATTTGATCTCGCAATCTTTGGTAGCATTGAGTACTGCCAGTTCTGGGGGAGAACTTTTCCCACCAGGGATCAGTGATTCAAAGGCAAGCTCCTCCATTTCCAAGTGTGACCTTGGCAATCATTGTCTTTTAAATTGTCAACCTCCTCGTTGATGAAGATGGGAAAATAATGGTATTTAACTTACAGGGCAGATAGAGAATTCAGTGAGAAGGAAGGCTTGCTTCGCATAGTAGCTGGTATAAAGTAAGTGCTAAAAATGTGAGCTTGAGGCCTAGTTTAACTTCACAAAGAAAACTGCAGCTCAGTAGACCAACTTTATGGTAGCCATAACTTTCAAAAGGCATGATCTCTGTGGTAGAAAACGTATTGAGAAGCAGTGCTCTAAAACACACACTTACTGAGGGCAAAGTTGCAACTTTATGTCAGTGTTGACTCAGGAAAAGACTTCTTACTCAAGTTTAGAGACTAAGCTATCTAAAAGCACATTGCCAGTGAGAATTGCAGGGAAGTTCTTCAGTTCCTCTCTAAATTTACTGAGGATCGAGTTCTATTTTCCTTGAGCCACTTCTTCCCCACTTCGTGGACTCTAAGAGTGTTGACAAGAAAGACTTGAACAGCATACTGAGATTGAGACACCGTGGTGTAATTTCTACATCCTCCACTGAACAGCAACTTCCTTAGACTCACATGGGACAGAAGCAGTCCAGTAAAAGTCTGCTGAGGAGGACGGAGGCTGGACCAGAGGCAGACATTCCTGTGTAGCCAGCACAGGATAAGCAGTAGGGAGAAGAAAGCCGGGTTATCTAGCTGTTGAATTGGGTACTTCCTAGCAGATGGGGTTCCCCTAACACTCACACATTGAACACAGGCAGAGACGATCAACAACGAGGCGTTGTCCCGAACAGTGTAGCTGGGAGTCAGTGGTTGTGGGGAGCAACTGGGAGCAACTCGGACTAGATTAAGTTACTGGAATTAAGACTTATTCTATGCATCTGCTCTCCCACAATATGGCGCTGAGAAGGGAGAAACAGCTTCTACACAGCTGCCTCCAGTTCCACCAATAAACTGTAGGACCTGCTGCTGATTGGAGGAGAGCAGCGTACTTGGCGTGTGGGCAGCCGAGTTGGGATTGGCGGAAGAGGACTATAAAGTAGGAGAGAGACGGCATGCACCAGGAACATCTAAGGGGAACATCTATCTGAAGGAACACCTGTGCAGCCCCCGAGAGAGCCGGCCGGCGGTGTGCCGCTCCCCTGCGGAAGTGGGGAAAGTGGCCAGGGGGAACCGCCCTTCCACGGAGGTGGAAGGGACGGCAGCCAACCCGGGAAGAACCAGCAGCAAACCCGGGGAGGGCCGAGCAGACAAAAGAACAGCGCAGGGTCCTGTGTCGTTCCTCCACGAAGACGGGGAGCGACAGGTGGTGCTGGTAGCTCTGTGACAGCCTGGAGTCTCGTCCCCATCCCTCTTCCACCAGACTGCAGCCCAGCTGCTCTGTTGAACAGGGAGTTTTTTCCTTCTAAAGATGTGGTAGGGAGAATCTACGTGGCCCTTGGGGTGAGAACCCTTTGCATTTGGAGAGGGCCTGGGGGTTGGGTCTCTGCGTGTCGGCTTTACAGGAAGGAAGAAACCACAGAGAAGGAATGAGTGCTTCTCACTCATTCATGCGGTGCTTGTGAGGGCGATCCGATGGGAGACGGGGTGCTCTGTCCCAGCTGCGTTACCCATGGCAGTGTGTGGATCGCCTGCTGTCACTGTAGCAAGGGGTCCCTGTGGGGTTCTCTGGTCAGTCTGCAGCCATCGTGTCTGGAGATGGTCCAGAGGGATCCAGGAACCGATTTCTGCGATGGAAGCCTCAGGACCTGGTGGTATTTCAGGGTATTTTTGACCATCTGGTTGTGAAGTGTGAATCTGCACCATAATGAGGAAGCCCACTTTTCCTTCCTCGTGCAGCCCAGAACAGACAGGAATAAAGCAAAGTTCATGTTGAACAAAGAGCTTCCCCCAGGATGCGCAGGTCAGGATGGGGTCCTGAGGTTTAGCTTTTCTCTGCCTCAGTGCCGGAGTGAGGCTTTGTTTTCAACCACAGGTTGCAAAGTCACGTGGAGGTCACATGCGGAAGCGGACCTCTTTACCCAGTACTGATTTAGTAACTAGTCTTCAGCATAACAGTAATAGCTTGAACTTAGGATTGATATCTATTGTCTATTGTACCATTTAAAATACTTGAGATTACTAGTATTTGATTGCTAATTAAACAGTATTCAATAGAAATGAAATTTAAAAATTTTGACTGCCAGTGGGGCAAGCTATATTTTTGCCTTCTTTCTTAGTACATTTCCTTCCCCCCAACCTGCCTTGAATATTAATTAGAACCAGAGAAAAGAAAAGAAAATTGCTCATAGGAAAATGTATAATGTGTAACCCAGGCATTTCAGTTCTAGAATTTTATGCAAAGGAAATAATGGGATAAGTGCAAATAATGTAATAGTTTTCCAACAGGAAATACTGAATTGAAACAGATGTCAGCTCTTTATTTTTACAAAAGCAAGATAATTTCAGGTGGCATAGGGTGGGGGAATAAACATAGGGAAAGTCATATTTTGATTGTCTTTCTAATAAAATTCTACACCGAATTTTTTACATAAATCAAATTTTACTTGCCTATATGAAGTGCTTGAGTGATCAGTATTTTCTGTGAATGATAGTGAGCAGTCAGGAGACAGAAGGAGGCGGGAGAGTTGCATTCACAGTAACAATAACTGCAGTCACGCATGCCAAGCGCTGACTCTCCACCAGGCCCCGCAGAGGCTCTGCTTGTCGCAACACACCCTCCAAAAATCTATGCGCTAGGGTGCCTACGTCATTCACAGGAGGGAAACTGCAGAGAAAGCCTCCGAGTAGATCACGACTCAGTGAGGCTTGGAGCTGGAAGAGTCCATCTGTGTAACCACCACATCTGAGCCTCAGCAGACAAGTCGGAGGCATAAATCAGGACAGCTACAAGAATTTTACTGAGAACTTAACTTCTGTGTTGAATTTTAAATTAGAAGTTAAAGCAAAAGGAACACCATGTTCTTGAAATAAATGATTGTTTTATTTTATTTTTAATTAGTTCATAACAGATTCAATGTGACTTGTAGATAGTTTTTTAAAAAAAAAAAAAAGATTTATTTACTTATTTGCAAGTCGGAGTTATACAGAGGAGAGGCAGAGAGAGAGAAAGAGGTCTTCCATCCGATGGTTCACATCTGAAGCCAGGAGCTTCTTCCAGGTCTTCCACACAGGTGCAAGGACCCAAGGACTTGGGCCATCTTCTACTGCTTTCCCAGGCCATAGCAGAGAGCTGGATAGGAAGTGGAGCAGCTGGGTCTTGAACCGGCACCCATATGGGATGCCGGCACTTCAGACCAGGGCGTTAACCCACTGTGGCACAGTGCCGGCCGCATAGATACAGTTCTAAGAACATAATCTGTTTCTCCCTCCCTCTCTCCCTTCCTCTATCCTCCTCCTTTCTCTTTTTCTTTAGTTTTTTGAGATAACAATTTTTTTAAAGATTTATTTATTTGAAAGTCAGAGTTACACAGAGAGAGGAGAGTCAGAAAGAGAGGTCTTCCTTCTGATGGTTCACTCCCCAATTGACCACAATGGCTGGAGCTGCGCCGATCCGAAGCCAGGAGCTTCCTCCAGGTCTCCCACACAGGAGTAGGGGCCCAAGGACTTGGGCCATCTTCTACTGCTTTCCCAGGCCACAGTAGAGAGCTGGATTGGAAGTGGAGCAGCCTGGACTCAAACCAGAGTCCATATGGGATGCCAGCATTGCAGACGGCAGCTTTACCTGCTACACTGCAGCTCTGGCCACGTGAGATAACATATTTTAAATTTACACTGCAGTAAAAAGGCTTCATACTTCACCAAATAAGAAGTATTTAACAAGTAAAAAGCAAAAGACCCTAGTTTAGTAGGAACATAGACATTGGCTATAAATAATAATTGAATGGAAAAATGACCATTTCACCCATACACAGTCAACTTTAGTCACAGACCATTAAAACTATAATAGTGTAACATTCTTAACCATTGGTTTGACAAAGGTATAAAACTATCTTTGCAGCAAAACTGATAGACACACATTTCTTTCTCTTTTTTGTTTTTTAAATTTTAACTCCCACCTGTAAGAGAGAACATACGGTATTTGTCTTTCTGGGTCTGGCTTATTCCACTCAATATCATGTCCTCCAGTTGCATCCATTAGGCTGCAAATGGTAGAATTTCTTTTTTATAGCTGAATAATATTCCATTGTGTATATATACTACAGTTTCTTTATCCATTCATCTGATGATAGACAACTTGGTTGGTTCCAGATTTTGCTATTGTGAACGGTGCTGGCACAAGTATCTGTTTGATAAATTGTTCAAGTCTTTTGGGTATATGTCCAGTAGTGGGA